ATATTTACTCTTCAGGCTAGAAAAAAGCATAGAATGTTTTTTTAAGTAGCTTCAAATCCAAATCTCAGTTGTTTCCAGGCATGAAGCTTACATTCCTTGGTGAGATTAGTCTGTGCCTGAACACGAGCCTCACATAACAGGCTCTATGCAATTGAATTCATTTATAACAGAAAATATCAAGGACCAGTACTGAAAAGAAATCCTCTGCTCATAAACAGAGACTGCTTACATTTCTAGAAGCTTTTTTCCAATTTTTGTSGAGTCTTCCCTCTGGAAACATTCCAAACCACCTGGACACATTTTTGTGAAACCTGCTCTTGCTGAACCTGCCTTGGAGGAGGGTTAGACTAGATGATCTCCAGAGGTTYCTTCCAACCCTAGCAATYCTGTGATTCTGCAGTCATCTTCATGATTTATTTTCTGACCACTGGCAAAACTCTTACAGATCCTGGAGTATCCAAATACACTGGAAAGGGACAACTGGAATCCCTGATAGTGATAGCAGGGGAGGAGAAATGGGGTATAGTTCAATATCACAGTATTTTTGATCTTGTCTATGGAGAAAACATGGGCTTGAAAATAAGCAAACCAGACAAAGCAAATTAGGATAATCACATCTTTCACTGTTAGAAATACGCTGGTTTTGCCAAGTCTGGCCTGTAGCAGACCACTGCAGATGGCACATTTCAGCCAAAGGCAGGCAGAATGACATGGATTTTCTCCATATCACAAAAAGACAACAAAGCCACAAGACAACACATGGCTCAAACCCCAAATGAGCACATCCCATCCAACAAGGCTGGTCTGTCTCTGCTGGCCAAAGCTTCCCAGGAAAATGGAAATCCTCCCTCCCTCTTCTCATAAGGAGGAACAGCCTCTGCTCAAGATTACTGTACCTGTTACACCATCTGCTGTAACTTCCAGGCAGAAATTAACTCAGAAACAGASCCCAATTAACTATGTACACAATGTGAAGTTTTGTTTCTAATTAGAAAGCCTGGTATCAGCTGCCCCAGCTACCTTATTTTCTTCTGTAAGTCTGATACAGATGTTCTGAATTGCTCCACCTCCTTAAACACTTGAATACTTCACAATTAGTTCAATTGTGGAGATGAGTCATCTAATTTCCTTTTCCAGTAAGGGTCACTATTGGAAAATTGGCATACCAAGGCTAAGTAATCATGTTACCAATGAAAATTATAACAAGTGCTGTCCTGGTGAATCAGTACACTGCTTTTTGCAGTTTCTTAAAATAAGAATACTAAATACAACAGAATGAAAAGGGAAAACCAACTAAATTAACCTTACTGCTCAAAATGCACCTTTGAAACCAGAGCAAAGCAGTGGAAAAAYTCAGTAATCCAATTAAAATGGGGAAAAAACACCTTCCAGTAGCAAACCCTTCCCACAATGCATTCACTAGCAGCAGAAATTGAAGCGATAGCTTATAGTCAAGGAAARATGGTGACAAATTTATCAAGTTTAGTGGTATGAAACCTCTGCCTACACCCTGACCCAAAATTCATATGACCCTTAAGGACTGATCGACAAAGTAAAAAGCCTGAATTTCAATTAACCCTGACTTTATACTTTTCCTAGAATGCTTACAAWTGTTTCCAAATGCAGTATTCTGGAAGCAAAATGCTTTCAAGTACTTAGAAGTGCATTATTAAGACACTCCAAWGGAATGTAATTTATTGTCTTTGTAACATCCAAAGATTATAGGGTATGGACTGCTTGCAATGTGAAGTACACTTAAAAGGCTGCCCAAAGTGCAGCCGTGCCTCAAYAGCACCCAATACTCAATATAAATACTGAAAGACATTAGTATTAAAGGAAACCTACTAAAAACTGGTGCTTTGCTTGCACTTCTGTAGAAGACCTGAGAATAAACACAGTAAAAAAGCAGAAGTACAAGCAAACTAGAAATTCCTCAGCTGGGCAAGACAATAAAACAACAAACATTGCACCAGTAGCCCTTCCCTAACCCTGCCCTTAGAATTAGGGTATAATTGTGGCAGGTTTTCCAAGCAAAGAGAAGAGACATCCAGACCACAGAGTCCAGTGGCACATCCCCAGGTAGTTTGTGACTAGCCCTCAGAAAGGGGAAGTTCTCTTCAAAAGAGAGGATTCATGAACAGTGTGCCAGGCTGGTAACTCAGCCTGATACAATAATGGGTAACTAAATGCTTTCTGACCCACACTRCTAGGAAACCATCACCTCCTTTTCAAGGGCAGTGTCYRAGGTAATATTTGCAACTCCTAAGAAAGAACAGAGCACTAAAGGAAGTTGCCCTTTGTTGCCTCCTGTCATGTTACAAACTGTTCAAAGAGTATGCTCATCTTCCGGGAGATAAAAAAAAAATATTCCAACTGACATCAGCCCTTCTCTCTATTAACACAGTCATCAAGAAACAAATTAAACGTAGTCATCAAGAAACAAGGCAAAACCTGCCCTTTAAAAGACACTTTGGCATGGAGAGAGAGGGYGGAGTACACCTTGCAGGTAAGGAACCAGGGACAACTCTTCCAGAAGGAATACAACTTACTACTTGGCTAAAAWAACATAGAAACCTCAACACATTCAAGACAAAACCCTAGACACTGTCTGTAACTAAACAAAAAMCAACTTGGTGTCCCACTGACTGCAGTCACAGACAGTGCCACTCACTACAATTTCCAGTGCTGGGAACACATCAGTCATAAGTCATTTTGGAAAGTTCTGAAATGTGGTTTTCCTACAGAATCATATCCMAGTAGCTTTTCAAGGGCAGTATTACTATGACTAATTACCACCCTTTTTAATACAACTGCCTAACAAGAAGGTAAGTTTGATGTCAGGTCTAGGCCCTTACACAACACTAATTTTTCAAAGCTGCAATGTAATTGAAAGGGAAAAGAGAAGTCACCCATCTTCTCTAGCTGAGACATTCGTGGCTCTTTTTACACATTCCACAGCTGAAAACAAAGATAACTAAAACAATCTAACTGSTCCTTTCTAAATGTTTTTTCTGTCATTTACAAAGAACAAGCCCTGACTGCAAGATAAGGCTCATGCGTGCTGTACTGGAACCACACATCTGAAGACAGGAAGATCAGCCTGGCTGAGAAGGGGAATTCCCTCCTCCAAARTATTTGTTACATCAACCCCTTCCTTGTGAAGGAGATGCCAAAAGAGACCAAGGCTCTAATACATCCACGTACCCCTTTCACACTGCACGGCAGCGCTACCTTTCCGTGGCTTTAGCGCGGCTCCTTCCTTCCCCGCAGGAGAGGATGTGCCTGGACTTACACAGCGCGGGGGCTCCGCCCGGCTGTGCCGGGAAGGGCGCACAGCCCCGACCCCCGCCCGCCTCTCCCGGGAAAGATGCCGCTCGCACGGCCMCGCTCGCAGCCGATACCGAGCCCACGAACCGCGGCTGCTCCGCCGGAGGTACCGGGAAGGCCGGGCGGGTTCCCCCCGTGGCTGTCGAGGTCTCCCCGCGGCTGTCGGGGTCCCTCCCGAGCCCCCAGCCCCGTTGCTTACCCCATGCTCGCCGCCGCCGCTCGCCCCGCGCCCGCCGCCCAGCCCCGCGCACGTCACACCGCCCGCACCGCCCCTTAAAGGGGAGCCCCAGTCCCGCTGCTGCGATCCCAATCCCTCACACCTACGCAGAAACCTCCATCAGCCAGCGCTCAGCGCTACTGTGCGCAGCTCGGGCGTCCCCCGCATAACACGGAATGGACACGAAAGTGTTGGGGCAAGTCCAGGGGAAGCCGCGATATTGATAAGAGAACTGGAGCACCTCCCCTRAGGAGACAGGCTGGGTGAGTTGGGGCTGCTCAGCCTGGAGAAGAGAAGGTTGTGTGGACACCTCACAACACCTTGTAGGATCTGAAGGGGCTACATGGAATCGGAGAGGGACACTTTGTCAGGRACTGGAGTGACAGGACAGGGAGTAATGGGTACACATTGAAAGAGGGGAAATTTAGGTTAGCTATTAGGAAGAAAGTTTTTCCTGTCAGTGTAGAACAGGTTGCTCATGGAGGTTGTGGATGCCCCAATCCTGGCAGTGCTCAAGACCAGGCCTGAAGAATAGACCTCCAGCAATCTTTGGGCTAGTGGGAGGYGTCACTGCCCGTGGCAGAGGGGAGGCTGGGAACTGATCATCTTTAAGATCCATTCCAACCCCTTAACATTCTGTGATTAACCCCCTGCCCCCTCTTCATCACCTTCCACTCTGAAAAACTGACACATTTTTACAGCAAGACTCCTGTAATGACCAATATAGGCTTAAAGGAATTTACTTTTCTCAAGATTGAAACAGAAGGAGAAATACTGATAAAAAAACTAACTACAAAAGATGCTAGAAAACCAAGGAGATACTTCAAGCAAAAGCAGATTTTCTTCCAGAGCCACTATGGATTTTCTAATAGTACAGAGCAAAGAGTAATGGCCATAAACTAAAACACAGGATGTTCCACCTCACCATGAGGAAGAATTTGTTTATATTAAGAATGGCAAAGCACTGGAACTGCCCAGGGAGTACGTGGAGTCTCCCCTCTGGAAACATGCAAGTCACACCTGGACACATTCTTGTGTCACCTGCTCCAAGTGACCCTGCCTTGGCRGGGGGGGTGGACTGGATGATCTCCAGAAGTCCCTTCCAACTTTTTTGTGATTCTGAGTCAATACTTCAACTTCCTATCCAGTTGGGAGGATACAGATTATCACATACAGAGATTGTTATGGTCAGAATAGTAACATCCAGCCTCCTCCTCATGTCCCGCCTTCTTCTAACATCTACACAGATTTTGAGTGTTCCACACTCTTAACACAGAAATAAGTATTTCTATTTTCACATTCTAGCAGCACAGAATCATGGAATTGTTTAGGCTGGAAAAAACCTTTAAGATCACCACGTCCAATTGTTAACCCAGCACTGCCAAGTCCATATGTCCTGAGTACACAATGAAGAACATCTAAATAAAATCCCATTTTAAAAGCTTSCATGGCTTACCTGGGACCAGATGAGTAGAAATCATCAAAGTCAGCATCGGAGACCCTGTAACAAGAAAATTCATCTCAAAGAACTGAATTTATGACCTATTCAAGTTACCTGGCTAAGTTTCAAGTGCTTATGAAATGTAATATACACTAAAAAGAGAGATTAATTTTGTCATCTGTGGTGCTACAAGTATGGATTTGACATTGCCGGACAGTGCTGTTCCAAGGCAGTTTGCAAAATCAAAAAAAATATACACCATACACAGATTTGGAACAACTGTGGATGAATGCATTTACTGCATTAGCCCTAAGTAACTAAGGCTAGCTAGTGATTAACAACTCACACTGAATGAACAAACTTAGATTTTTTTACTAAGCTCACCTTCACCATTAATTAAGCTTAGTTTCACCCAGGTGTGCTCTGACATAGGCATCCCTGCTTTGGGGAGAAGAAAGGAGCAAGGAAAGCAACTTGTCCACAAAGTGGGGTCATATTCTCATCCTCCACATGGAGAAAACCAAGTATCAATTTTAAAAGGAGAGGTTCTGTTACCCTCAGTCAAACTGAGTTMTAGGACCTGTGGCTGAACCAAAGGCAGAACAGAAGTGTGATATTTTGATGTCACTCCCTCCTCACTTGGCTAAAGGCTATCTGTTGCCTGATAGTCTTTGCTCCCACACTACAACTGCACATCATCATGGTCTCCAAGGAGCAGATTTGTACCTCTAACAAGGCCTCTTATGCCTCAGCAAGAAGGAGTAATGCTCACTCTCCCTACAGAGATGGGGGTGCTCTTCTGTGCTTCATAGAGACAACATGGAGCTCAGGCCAAAGTTTCACCCCAGATATGATGTAGTGGTTAAGCCGTGAGTCAGGTGCAAGATAAGCAAGTGGCTCAGCTCGTGTTTGTGCTCAACCAGCCTCATTGATTCTCCATAGCAAGCCTGCCAATTTTCCACATTATCCCCTCTGTGACTATAGTCAGAACCCCACAATAGGTGGGTTTGGGTATGTTTTGTCTGCTCCTATGGAACACCTTTCACTTGGTAACATTCTCCATCTGGAGTAGGTACCAGTAATATGGTCCCAAAGCACTCTCAAGTGTGAAGTTAAAGTTTTCAATAACAAGGACTTTAAGCATGATAGAGTAATACTGACAAGGACAATCATTGTAACAAGTATTAATGCATATTGTATCAAGCCTTGAAACCCTACCCCCAGGGTAAAAAAAAAAAAAAAAAAAAAAAAAAGCATAAGCATATTAAAGCTTCATCCTAACCAGCTGTCGGATGTATGGAGTTTCTTGAGTCCCTCTCGCATCTTCTCTATAGATTCTCTAGTTTCTTCTAGGTCACGTATCCTCAGAAAAATTAAACAGAGTGTAAATATTTGAAAATACTGAAGAAGACACACATCAATTCATGCATTAACTTATCCAGCTCATTGTTCCCATTTTGCAGGTAAGTAACAAGCATTAATGTTTATCCTTGATAGAGCCAGATATAGGCAAGAAAGGCCTTTTAGGAAGATTTAACCATTAAACTATGTTTTTGTCATTTGATGACAGAATCATCTGTTGTATACATCCAGTTTGCCTCATACCTTTTATTAGGCTCACTGCAGTACAACTGTGCATTAAATTTTAGGAATGAGTTCGAGCAGCAGTATCGATACGAGCAAAATCCACAGCAGAAGTCAGGACAGGATTGTGCAGGTTGTATTTTGCCAAAATTATCAGTATATGCTGAACAATCCTCACCCAAAACTGAAAAGAGTTACAAACCAATAGTTAGTAAGTGAAGAAATAAACACAGAAAGTCTTTTTCTCATACTGACTAGCTCATCTAAGTTAACATTTAAATATGATAAAAGTATTTTGGTTAGATCTTACAAACCAAGTATTTCCTTTAGTGTATAACAAAGGCAAATAGTTACTCCTCACAGAAAGAGTAACAGAAAGAGTAACTCATCTTCATCAAGCACCTCTATCCAAATGTTCATACAGGCATAAGCACTAAACTGCATGAAAACATGAGATGCTGGCGATACTCTCTTCATCTGATAATAGCCACCAAATTACTGTAAAGACTCTAAAAGCAACATGAGTTGCCATAAACATTAAAAATATCAAAAGAGCCAGCTAGGTCAGCTAGAAGAAAATGTGAAATTTTCTTAAGAGATTTGACTTGATGCAAAAGACACAACACCACAGCATTCATTGTAGGTTTGGATTCCCATACAACTTGGCTGTTTCTACCTGTTACTTCGTTTACTTCACAGAAAATCCAAATCCTGATAATCCATGACATAAAATCAGCCTAGTGGCATTCCCACTGTAAGCATTACCTGGTGCAGCTACAACGGTAATGCAATGGGGATGCATTAAAGGACATCCCATGCTTTTCAGCACTGCATTGGGCTGACATGTTCCTTGGCTGTTTTCTCTCTCTTTGAAATCCCAAGYCTGAGTAACTGCTTATCACCACCATGGCACCAAAAAAAGCTTTTAACTGCCACACAAAAATACTTCTCAAAGCTTAAGCAAAAATAAYTTCCTGAGAAGTGATAAATGTTGCAGTCAGCTGGTTTCTATTTGTCATTTTCTTTCCTATCACATAACATGTTAACAAGACATACCCTGATATCTTGCTCCTAAAGCACACTCCATCCAAAAAAAACTCTAATTCCTTCAGGTGTAGTTGTTCAGAGAAAGCAAACAGGAAGAGGCAAAGACAATAAATCCTGTTTCTTCAGTAGGAAAGAGGTATTTCCTGGAGTATTTAAACTGACTTCAGCATTTGAAAATTCAGTCTTGACTCTCTGGCATCAAGAAATACCTGAATACTTCAGCTGTTCCTTGGAATAAAGCACCGAACGTTCCCAAACTGTTAAAATYATAATATAGAAGTGAGTCTTTAATTGAAAGCCTTGGTGGTGTACAGTATGGTGATACGCACACACAATACAGTAGTTCTACAATTTTTATAAGGTTAGTTGATTAGCATATCTCTCAAATATTGTCCAATTAGAAGAGCAGTTGGTTAGATAATTTCCCCCAGATTCTGTCCTATTGGAGCCCCCCCATATCTTTTAGCCCTACATTTTATTATGTCTACRATGTGTGGTGCAAAACACAGTGTCCTTGCTGGACTAAAGGCAAGACTAAACAGAATTTCAAGAATGTATTAGTAAGGGTTTAGTAAACTACGGGRAGGACAGGAAAAGTACTAGAAGCTATAACTACATATTAACAGTCTAGAAAGTTACAAATATATGAAAAATATATAAAATGCTAAAAGTATTTAGGCATCACAGCCAACAATAAAACCAAAAATCTTCTAAGGAGTTAAATGTGGAGGTTCATTAAACAGAAACAAAGAGGAACTTCTGTACCAATACCACAGTACTTTTTACAGGTGTACATATGCTTACACATGGCTGATCAAACCTTTCCTTTGCAGACACCTAATGCCACCTGACTCCTCCCTGCTTCCTCTATYCCTGATAAGGAAATGCCAGGTAGCTAAAGCAATTCCAAAATACCTTGTGAAATCAAAAAGCAAGGCAACCAACAAATTCCTCCCTTTATCTCAAAACTGTACGACTGCAGCACAATGAAGTAACAAGGAAAACCAAACAAAGCCAGTTCTCAGGTGGCTGAGCTGAGCCAACAAAGTCTGAGCACACCAAAGAATTTTCTACTTTGCTCCTCTCTTTCTCCATCAGCTGTGGCACCCAGGAGACTCTTCTTCAACTGRGTGCATTCTCCAGCTTATCAGCCAATCAACTGCTGGCACTTTTTCCCCCAGCTGGTTTTCTGATGAGTTAATTATTTGAATCACCTGAGAAGAGGTACAGTACACCCCAAACCACCACAATGCAGCTACTGGAGGGTTCATCAGATCCTTCAGGACAGCAGCATGAGGATTTCATACTAGCAATACCACACAAAACCCTTAATAGATTGACCAAGTTCCAGCTCGAGAGCAGAGCTRCCACACTCTTCCCGCCCAGTCCCCAATCACTCCAGTAAGTACTAATTTCCAAGTCCATTTATTCAAGACCAGCTTGCATGCAGTTACTGCTATAGCACTCTCATGGTGAGTCAGCTCAAAGAAYCCTTTTTCTGGTGCTTATACCTTGAAGTACTTACAGATAAAATCCTGACCACTTCAGCCAACACTGATTTCAGCTCAGCCCCCAGACAAACTGCGATCCTGGATTACTCTGACCAAATCGAATGTCTTCTTGCACATCACAATCAATTTTCCTGCACATGTTTGTGCAGAATTTAATCCCTCTGATGAAGTGACACCACTGATACATACAATATAAAGAGTTTATCCTTCTCGGAGACTTCACCTTAGCTRAGTTCTATGATCACGTCCCCTCTTTCTAACCACACGTCAAAGCTGGGGAAGACCACATGATCAATTCTCTAAGCACAACAACAACATCTACAGATAGGGCTGCTGAAAAAAAAAATCAACAATAGCATTTGATGTATGAACTCAATGATCAAACAAGCTTACATAAGCAGTGCTGTTTATGCGATATCATCACTTACTACCTCATTATCTCTATTATCTTCCCGTAAAAGGGTAGAATTTACTGTGTCGGGGGTGAAAAGGTGGACGTTTTTTAACGGGATACTTTAAGAATGACCRGCAGCCACTTTAGTACATGACTGCATTACCTTAGTTACCAGCAGCCCGGATCATCAGGTGGGGTCCCGCAGCCATTGCTGGGCACTACCTGCTGCTGGCCGACACCACCGCTCAACRCAAATGCACCTCACACCGGCAGAGCTTTTCCCTCATCAGGACTTTCCCCTCAGAGAACCCAATTCGACGCCAAAACCACTACACCCGTGTGGGCACCTCCCGCCGCTGCGACCACGTGTCCCCAAAAACACGCGTTCCTCAGCCCCCCCAAGCACGCGTTCCTCAGCCTCCCAAACACGCATTCCTCAGTCCCCCCAAACACGCGTTCCTCAGCCCCCAAACACGCGTTGCTCAGCCCCCCAAACACGCGTTCCTCAGCCCCCCAAACACGCGTTCCTCAGCCCCCCAAGCACGCGTTCCTCAGCCCCCGCCCCGCCACGGGCGGCTGAGCTGAGGGGGCTGAGCTCGCAGCCGGGGGTTCCCCACGCCAGGGCCTTCGGCCGGGCCTCCGCGGGGGACGCTGCCCCAGACGAGCCACGGAACCGCCTCCGAAAGCGACACTGGAGTCCCCSCGTTCGCCGCTACTGCACCCCTGTTCCCCCCGCGCTCACCGGCCGCCGGCAGCAGGGGGAGGCAGAAGAGGCACAAGGCGAACACACCCCGACACAGCGCCATGAGGGCGACCTCTCCTCAGGGCGCGCAGGGAGGGGCGACCCGCGGGAAGCGGCGGAGGCAGCGGGCGGGGCGGGGCGACCCCGGCGCGGGAGAGCGCTTGAGGCAGTCCCGGAATGGTTTCATTTCCCCATTTGCCCCACCCCGCTTCCCGATCTCAGTTCCCCGTTGCCCGGCGGTTGCTCCGGCTCCCGTTACCGAGCACGGTTGCTGCACTACCAGCTGAAGGCTTCTTTCTCTCTGAGGGGAGACCTCATCGCAATATCACAGAATCACAGAATCACAGAATCATTTAGGTTGGAAAAGACCTCTGAAGATCATCGAGTCCAACCTATGACTTATCACCACCATGGTACCAAGTGCCACATCCARTCTTGCCRAGGTGCTCCCTCCCTGGCACCAGACACTTTTGTCACCATCTAGCTAAAGGAGCTATGTCATGCCCTGGCCTTAGAAGGCCAAGCAAAATACAGAAAGCCTGGTGAGAAGAAAACCCCCAGCACCAGAGTTTGACATGGAAGGTGGCCAGTAAAAGAGGATCGCTGGGGACACTCTAAAGACAGGAGGTGAAGGAAGCAGTCACTCCCAGCAGTGTCACATACCGAGTATTGYAGCACTTCCAGGCGGTTCAGGTTTCTATCCTGATCCTGAATYGCATTTCGGACCTGGATTCTCCAAGGCTGGATTTCACATTCCTTTTTTCACTCTAGTTGTATCTGAGACATTGGTTTTTGTCTAGGCAGGTTCAGTAGTGGACTCTGGGCCTCTCATGCAGTTGTTCTTAGACACCATTTCTTCCTCTCATTTAGGTCCCCTTTTGGGAAGGGAAGTTTGATGAGACCCCGATGCCACAGTGGTAGGGAGGTGCAGGGTGTCCTTGCTCTTCCCTCTATGCCATTTCCAACTCCTGCAKGAAGCTGAAGCCTGGACTGATGGAATGGTACAGGGCCAGGACTGCTGAGGCAGGTCTTGGCACAGCACAGCACATGCTCCTTCCTACATTGTGAGCAATGAAGAAAAAATACCAAACTCCTGGGGATTCAGATCCCCATTATGAACACTTCCATCAGAAACTGATAATAATTTTGACAATATTGACAGCAGAAGCCAGAGAATACAGAATGGATAGCCTGTTTCTGGATGCAGTCCCTGTGGAACCAGGCCCTTTTGCACAGTGGGCTCACCATGGTGCTGTAGGTCTTTCTATCCTCCACAGGCTCCATGCAGATGGGGCATTCRGTGCCCGGCTCCGGAGTGGCCTCCACTTTCTGCTYTGGGCAGTGTGCACAGCAGAGGACCTGGTGGGAAAAAGGATGGGCAAAGTGACAGGTGCTGGGTCCTTCCCTGGGTCAACCAGGAGGGGAGAGCAGGTACCTGTATGGGGTTATGTACTGGGTGACACAGCCACCCTCCTTGGCACAGGGCAGGTGGAAACTCTGGCCACAGTCCTCCTTGCAGCAGGTGATGGTGGCCCCACTCTTGSCACAGATGAAGCAGTGCTGGAAAGAGTCCAGCAGCCCCATCAGGGACAGCTTGGGGCCTCTTCCTTGTCCCAGAGCTGGTTTGAAAAGCTGCGCTTTCTTTCTTGGGGTCTGGGCTAAACTCTGGCAAATCTCACCTGGTACAAATCTCCCTGGTCTTGCCAGGCTCTCACCTGCTGTGCCCTGGGGTCCCCAGCACAGGAAGGGTGTGGGGCTGTTGGAGCAAGTTSAGAGGAGGCCACGAAAATTTACAAAAGCCTGGAGTGACAGGATAAGGGAGAATGGCTTCACACTGAAAGTGAGTAGGTTGAGATTAGATACTAGGAAGAAGTTCTTGCCTGTGAGGGTGGTGAGGCCCTGGCACGGGTTGCCTGGAGAAGCTATGGCTGCCCCATCCCTGGAAGTGTTCAAGGCCAGACTGGATGGAGCTTGGAGCCACCTGGTGTAGTGGAAGGCGCCCCTGCCCATGCAGGGAGATGGAATTAGATTATCTTTCAGGTTCCTTACACCCCAAATCATTCTGTGACTCTTTGTTTATATCTTGAAAGTGTCAGATGCTCCAGTCCATGCTCCCTGGGCCCATGTGGATCCAATACAGCTCCCGCTTGCAAAGTCAGGCCCAGACTGCCCACAGCCAGCCCGGACACCGCCGCAGGACCTGCTRTGCACCGTCCCCCAGTGCTGGCCCTGATCCCACTCCACCGGCACCATAAAGTGCACTGGGAGGCTCAACGCTCATGTGTTAGCTTCCTCGTCCTCCTCCTGTCTCTCCAGGGAGAGCATTYGGGGCTGGGCCCAGAAGGGTTGTTGTCTCCCCGGGGGTCGGCAGCACCTGCCTCGCCTTCCTAGTGCGGGCTGGCCTTGGCCGACTGCCCAGCTCCCCGGCCGATAGCTTCGCGTCCCGCCGGCCCCGACCCTGCTCGGTTTCCTCGAGAGAAGTTCACACAAGCACCGGGGTTGTCTCTGCCCCTTGCCCTTCCACGGGCAGGGCACTCCAGCCCGGCCCTGCCCGAGCGCGGAGAGGGTCCCGCCCGTCTCCCGGCAACGCGTCCCGCCCGCCCGCCATGGCCCTCGCGAGTCGCCGTAGCGGCGGCGGCGGCGGCGCGGCCGGGCCGGCGGTGAGTGCGGCGGCCGCGGGGCCCGGTCCCGGCAGCGCGGGGGCTCCCTCGGGGCCACGGGGGGGCTCGGGGCTCGGCCGGCTCGGGGAGTGTCGTCCGGCTGTGCGGGAGCCTCCCGATCGGGGGATGGCTGCCGCGCCTCGCGGGCTGTGGACAGGTGTAGGGAGAATCTCAGGTTTGGGCTGTTTGTGAGCGTGAAGGGCCCTTCCGGGTTTGGGGTGTCTGTGGCTGCAGGGAGTGCCGCCAGGTTTAGGGGGTGTCTCTGGTTCTGGGGCGCCGCTGGGCTCGGGGCATTCTGCCCGCCTCGGCTGCGAGGTGAGCCCGGCTTTGGGGCCGATTCCTGGGTGTAAGCACGGCAGTGCTGCTCGGTGTTGTGGGTTGGGGGTACCGGCAGGCTGGGGTGCCACGGAGACCCACGCGTGGGATGAAGGYAGGGCAGTTTTGTGATCTGTGCTGGGCTGTGCTGTTTCCCTTTGCCTGCTGCGAGTCTCGGGGCTTGGCTGCCAGACAAAGTTGTGTTGGCCGGCCTGGCTTCTCGGCCTCCTYGCCTGCCTCCAGTCGCCTCCACTTAAGATCTGTGTTCCCCTGTGTTGTGTGTTCTGCCCTGCTGCTGCAAGCTGCTTGCCTTTGCCTAGAGAAGGAACTTCAGCCTGGGGCCAGGCTCGGTGCAGGACATCTTTCTGTGAATCGAATGTGGGGCAGATGTGTGTYCCCCTGCTCTGCCCTCTCTCTGACCTGTTGAAAGGAGCATCTGCTCCATCTGAGCAAACACCCTGGCACTGCAGTAGTGCCAGCAGTGCATCTAATATGGTGCCAGTGTGGCCGTGTTGCATGCTGTGCTTTGGGCTTTCAGGTTGTTTTTGCCCTGCCCTTCTGAAGAGCTGTGGACAGTCCTGACTGCCCTCGGGTGTTTTTAACTTGTCCTGACAGAGGTGAAATCATGTCATGTTTCAAGTACTTTTAGGATAGTACACATTGTGCTGTCTACTCTGCTTTGGTAGTAAACGATATGTTTCTGTTTATTGCTTTATCTATTGTTTTGGGTTCCTGACGCAGGTAATTCAGGGCCTTTGATTCAGCCTGGTTTTTGCTTTGTTCTCGCTATTTTGCTCAGCAGTGCTGCAGGAGGGAGGCTGGGCAGTGCTGCTCCGCTGCTGCCTGCTGTGGTGGTCCTGAGGAAAGGGGCCTTAGGAAAACCTTTCCTAAGTCTAGCTGAAGCTCTGGTGATTTGGGGTTGCTGTGGCACTTGTGTCACTTGGCACTCCTTTTCTGGAATCATTAACTTTTCTTGGGTTCACCTTAATTTCTGCTCTGTGTGAGACTGCCAACAAACATTTAATTCCTGCAGCCCTTGCTCCTGTTGCATCTTCCTGTTGCTCTGTGTGTCATGACGTACTTTGACAGATGGAAGCCCAGGGAGAGTCTTCTAGTGGTAATTGGCTATTGGGCCAGTTGGAAACAGGAGATGGGTATAATCTAACATTTKGGAGTTGGATGGAACTAGCCACTTGAACGTATTCTTTTTGTCCTGGCACATGTCAGCTCTGGTAGCATTCTAGTGATACCAGGAAGGCTCCYGAATCTCTAGTCTTGTGGTAGATTTTCACTTGTTAACACTATTGCATGCTGTTATCTCTGTCTGCTTTTGTCCCCGTGACTCCGATAGCTGGGTCTTTCACTTTATAGTCAGTGATATTCTATTGTAGTCAGTCCATGTGCATTTGTCTCATTCCTTTCTCTTTTGGATAGTGGAATAATCTAAACACCTGTTAAACAGAAGATTAACCAGGCACATATTGCTGTCCAAAAGAACACAGAGTGGAAGAGAGAGGCAGAAGTGTTTTGTCAGGACGTGAGCAGCAGTGTGACATGGTGCCCAGTTTCAGAGGTGTTTGGCAGTGGTGGTGGCTGTGGCCCTGTGCTGGCTCAGTGTTTCTGGCCCAAGCTTGGTGCAAAGATTGTCTGGGTTTCTGGCTGGGTTGTGCCCATGCCTTTGTTTGGAGTGGGGTTTGTGTGTGTGTGTGGCTTAATGGTTCRTCTGCTTTGGGAAGGTTTTGGACAGGAGCTGTTGGACAGGTGAGACTGAGAACAGGGTCAGCAATTAGTTGGTTTGGGGCTCTTGTATAATGTCATTAGGACATGGAAATACTCTGGCTATTTTTTGGCTTATCCCTGTTGTTTAATTCAGGTAAACCAACCTCCAAGAAAGGGAGAAGTCTAAAGGCAGTATCCTCCCCAGAAGGCTTTGTTCTAAGCATCTCCCCATCTTATGTCCGCTTTGGAAGTGGTGCCTGTGAAGAATGACGTCGAGAGGTGCTGGGACAGCTTTCTCAAGGAAGAATTACAGGCTGAGCACTGAGCCAGAGAAGTCCAAGGTCACAGGTAGGGGCTTGTACATGCCATGTGAAATCAGGAGCACTGTGGATCCGGGGAGCATCCCTTGCCTTGCTTGAGATCAGCTGCTTTCCAGCTGCCATT